GAGAACGGCTACGGACGTGCTCGAACTGCTTCGAAACGTTTTCGGGATGAGGTGAACGGGCACTTTTACACGATCTGAACTGGATACAAACGCACTGCTGACTGGCTAAGAACGAGATAAGAACGAGATAGACGTATTGGGGACTGCTTATGAACGAACTAGCATCGTATTTTACGCGAGACTACCGTGATCACAGCCCAATCTAGTATATATTTTGTTTAGAACGTGATAGAACTACTTTGGTGTGATGGTAGCATAACTATGGTATTTTTGGGACAGTTAAACAGGATATAAATTTCGCCCTCTACAGAATCAAGGCGGGCAAAACAATATCTTATGTTGGTTGCGACAGTTTCGTATCTTTGGTGAATGATAAGGCCAATAAATTATGTCATGAGGTCAAGGTCACTTGAATAAAACTTCTTAATAAAGTGTTTGGTTACATTTAACTGGAAGTATAAATGTTATCACTCAACCTTGCATACAACTTCTTACTGGAATTAGAACTCCCATAAGAAAATAGTTTGGTCAACAGAGGTGACAGGTCTGATCACACATATGCATGTTATCAACATTCAAGTTTGAGTGAGTGAGTATGGTTTTACGCCGCTTTTAGCAATATTCCAGCAATATCACGACGGGGGACACACATGGTACCCATGTCGGGAATCGAACCCGGGTCTTCGGCGTGATGAGCAAACGCTTTAACCACTAAGCTACCCGACCGCCCCTCATTGTATGGGTAAACATGACACCAAGATATGTATAATGGTTCCGAACATTAACACATTTACCATCGAAAAACCCGTCTTTCATTCAGTGACGACTGATTCCCTCTTCTGAAAATGACAATATCTGTTTTATCATAGTTAACTGATAGTTTCCACGCTTTGAAGTAACATTCTAAAATGTTAAGTTGTTTTTGTAATCCAACAACATAATCTGAATCTAGAATTACATTATCGGCAAAAAGAAGCTTCAAAATTTCTATTACATTTGGGAACAATTGAATACCACGTTTACCCTTAGCCATAACTCGTAATAATTATAATTCACTAATAAAAGATGAGAACACTATCGGGCTCAAGATACATCCTTGTCGTAAGCCAACAGGACAGTCAAAGAAATCGATTACATCGTCACCACATCGTAAGTGTTGAAAACAGTGTCATTTGAAAAACACTTTCATAAAATGTATAAGCCTTTGAGATACTAACTTTTCTATTTGTCTGCTTTTTTAATGAACGTGCTTATTTCCAAAACATAGAGGGAGAAAAGATAGCATCACTCAGTTTTTTATGCCTAAATAGTCAGGTTTATTTTTCCTACAGCAGGATTTATAGTGATTTCTCTTTTTGCTGTAGATGTTTCTATTAGAAACAATACGTCTACGTCAAAATGTTCTCAATGCTTTTCGAGCATCCCGTCCAGCAATCTTACATTCGTCACTTAATGGGGCCTTCGTATGTTGATAATGCATAATTCTAGTTCTTTTCCTCATACAATCTGCAGAATCTAAGATAACATCGACGAAATCATCTATAGCCCCATCAATGTTAAAATCAAGTTTACTCAAAAGTAGTTGATTACAAGACACCATCCTTTCCTGCAGGCTGTTTAAAAACGTTTCACAAAGAGATTCATTCCAAACAGTCTTTTCTATAAAGCAACCAGATGTTGGCTTATCGTTTTGGCTGTTCATGTTTGGGAATTTACATGTTAATTCTAATGGTAAATAATCGGGCTCTATACGATCACCAATGTTTAACATGTCAATGTATTGAAAAAGATCCGGAGAACAGATAAAGTAATCATTCACACAACGTCCCCGGTGACCACAATATGTATATTCCCCTTCTGCGTCTTCATATACCCTGCCGTTAACAATAAATAGCTGGAATGAATGACACATGTCTAACAATATCTGTCCGAATCTGTTTATCACACTGTCATGGGATTTACGATCATCAACAGGTAGATCTTCCTCCTCACTAAATGGAATGTTGTGTTTCTCAAAAGCATCATCAACGTTAGCAAGTTAGCAAGTTGGTTGTTCTGTTCAACTGTACGTTCAATCATATCACCACAAATAACAGTGTAAGAATCACTAATTTCTCAAAAGTTTTCTAATAAGAACTGATCAAGCAGTTCAATGTTACATTTAGAGTTACTATTGTTATATACTGAACAACAAAAGTTCCTATGACAATGAATAAGATTTAAGGCAAAGTTATGTTTTTTACCAAATCTGAAACAATTTCGGTTTGCAACAGATAATAGACTCCTGTTAGTGTTCAAATTGTTTTATTTGCCATACTGACTTCAGGAAATGCGTGATTTCATAAAACAAACATGAGCATGACAAAATGTCAATTTACAAATCAGTAGCGTGTGTGTCCACCTCTGGTTGCGATGCAAGCAACACATCTTCGTCTCGTGGAATGGACCAGGCGTCGCACGAAGTCCTGTGGGATATCTGTGCATATCTGCTGGAGCATGTTTCGAAGTTCCTGGAGTGTCTGTGGAACACGTGGTTGACGTCGAAGGAGCCGATCCATCACATCCAACCTGTGCTCGATTGGAGAGAGATAAGGAAAACGAGCCGGCCAGGGGATGACATTCGCGTTGTTTTGTTGAAGAGAATCCTTAACAAGTCGACCAATATGAGGCCGGGCGTTGTCTTGTTGAAAGGTAATGCCTGGGCCATGACGACGCAAATACGGTAGAGCAACAGGGCCGATGATCTCGTCGCGGTAGCGCTGTCCATTGAGATTTCCCTCTTCCACTATCAAACGGATCCTCTGTCTTGCTGTAATCCCATCCCATACCATAACGCTGCCGCCCCCGAACCGATCTTCTTCCATGACACAATGATTGACGTAACGTTCACCTCGACTTCGGGACACTCGAATCCGTCCATTGCTGTGGCTGAGGTGAAAACGAGACTCGTCAGTGAATAGAACTTGTCCCCACTGCATGGCCGTCCAGCGTAGACGCTGTTTGCACCACTGTAGACGTGCCTGACGGTTGTTTCCTGTCAAAATAGTACGTCTGGCGGGTCTTCTGGCGACAATCCCTGCACATCTGAGGCGGCGACGTACGGTTTGTGAAGATATTCGTCGAAGGCCAGGGATGCTTCTTGCAGTCACTGTTGCTGGCTGGAATCGATTACGTAGGTGTGTTGTTCGAATCCAGTTGTCTTGTCGATTATTGGTTACGCACGGCCTGCCACTCCGAGGATAGTCTCTGACTGCATTCGTCTGTCGCCAACGTTGCCATAAACACCAAATGCTGTTTCTGTGGACGTTAAATTGTCTTGCAACATCACGTTGACCCGATCCTGCTTCAAGCATACCAATGGCTCGCTGACGCTCATTTTCGGACAGGCGTGGCGTTTCGTAATGTTGAGTAATTGCGTAATTTTGTTGCTTTTCTGAGTGGTTGTTGTCAGCACGATGCTAGACAATGCATATGGAATCCCGTTGACGCACATGTTTTTATACCCATTCTTGGGTAGTGAAATGCATGGAATGCATGCTTTTCTCTAGCAGTTGCGTTTTTGTGACTTGATGTCATACATGTACTACAATATTGAAAACCAAACTTTTCTTATTTGAAAAATACACTAAAATATTGGTGTCACAGGAACTTTTGTTGTTGAGTATAGTATGGCGAACCCGACGGTGGGATAAACGTCCATATTTCAGTTACTAGTACAATGTTCGTAGGGTTTAAATTGTTTTGTGAAATGTGAACGTGCAGAGACAAACACCAACATTCCATCAACATTCCCGCTAGTCGCCTTTTCGGCAAGCATGGGTTGCTGAAGATCTATTCTAACCCGGATCTTCACGGGTATTCCAATAAATCGTACACTACAGAGTATAATATCATTAATACATGGCCAGCGCCATCTGTTAAAAGACACAGACTCAATGAGCATGATGGTGAAATCCCTACTATTGACAGGCACAGTCCACCCTGTTCATAATGCCACCCTGGTCAAAATGACACCCTGATTGTAATGACAATGCTAATGGTTTTTCACAACAAGCGTTCCAATTTACTCGTTACAAAAATTGGAAATGAAGTTCTTCAAACTCAACTAACTTATTACATTGACCTCAGCTGTTTTCACAGCTTATCCTTACACAGAGAATCATTCACTCAGTTGTCTAATTCCTGTGCAGTTCTCACCCCTTGATGCTGGAGTTTTTACGGTCTGGGGAATTGAATGATTGGGCGATAGACCTGTGATACACCAGTGACACACCCGTGTTACACCTGTGTTACACCCAATCATTCAGTTCCCCAAACCGTAAGCTCCAGCTTAATCATCTGATGGACTGTATTGATGATACAATGGCCCCTGTTGTCCTGTTGTACTGCAGATAAGCCTGGGATCACGTGACACCTGCCACACCACGTCACACCTCCCACACCACGTCACCCCTGCCACACCACGTCACACCTGCCACACCACGTCACCCCTGCCACACCACGTCGCACCTACCACACCACGTCACACCTACCACACCACGTCACACCTGCCACACCACGTCACACCTGTCACACCACGTCACCCCTACCACACCACGTCACACCTACCACACCACGTCACCCCTGCCACACCACGTCACACCTACCACACCACGTCACACCTGTCACACCACGTCACACCTGCCACACCACGTCACCCCTGCCACACCACTTCACACCTGCCACACCACGTCACACCTGCCACACCACGTCACACCTACCACACCACGTCACACCTGCCACACCACGTCACACCTGCCACACCACGTCACACCCACCACACCACGTCACGCCTGCCACACCAAGTCACACCTACCACACCACGCCACACCTGCCACACCACGTCACCCCTGCCACACCACGTCACCCCTGCCACACCACGTCACACCTGCCACACCACGTCACCCCTGCCACACCACGTCACCCCTGCCACACCACATATACAATAATTGTCTACGAACTCCAGTAGGCATAAACAAGTTTATTTCCAAGCTGTTTTCAGTCATTTATGAATGTATCGGATCAGTTACGTTTGCCTTAGTATTAGAAGAGATGGGGTTCGAGAGTGCAGGGGTCTAAGGGTGTGAGTGAGGTGGGCGCTGCTTCAAGATATCACACCCCAAAAGTTGTTTCCCATTTAAACTGCTCTACGTCTCACACGGTGAAGGAAAGCAAAGTAATTGTTCAGTAAAGCATGTATCTGGTGTATAAGAAATATATGTTCCGGTATAGAAGGATTCCAACCAATCTTTTGTAATTGTTTAGTAAAGCATGTATGTGGTGTATAAGAAATATATATTCCGGCATAGAAGGATTCCAACCAATCTTCTGTAATTGTTTAGTAAAGCATGTATCTGGTGTATAAGAAATATATATTCCGGTATAGAAGGATTCCAACCAATCTTCTGTAATTGTTTAGTAAAGCATGTATGTGGTGTATAAGAAATATATATTCCGGTATAGAAGGATTCCAACCAATCTTCTGTAATTGTTTAATAAAGCATGTATCTGGTGTATAAGAAATATATGTTCCGGTATAGAAGGATTCCAACCAATCTTCTGTAATTGTTTAGTAAAGCATGTATCTGGTGTATAAGAAATATATATTCCGGCATAGAAAGATTCCAACCAATCTTCTGTAATTGTTTAGTAAAGCATGTAACTGGTGTATAAGAAATATATATTCCGGTATAGAAGGATTCCAACAAATCTTCTGTAATTGTTTAGTAAAGCATGTATCTGGTGTATAAGAAATATATATTCCAGTATAGAAGGATTCCAACCAATCTTCTGTAATTGTTTAGTAAAACATGTATCTTTTTGTATAAGAAATATATATTCCGGCATAGAAGGATTCCAACCAATCTTCTGTAATTGTTTAGTAAAGCATGTATCTGGTGTATAAGAAATATATATTCCGGTATAGAAGGATTCCAACAAATCTTCTGTAATTGTTTAGTAAAGCATGCATCTGGTGTATAAGAAATATATATTTCGGTATAGAAGGATTCCAACCAATCTTCTGTAATTGTTCAGTAAAGCATGCATCTGGTGTATAAGACATATATATTTTTTAGTAAAGCATGTATCTGGTGTTTAAGAAATATATATTCCGGCATAGAAGGATTCCAACCAATCTTCTGTAATTGTTCAGTAAAGCATGTCTCTGTTTATAAGAAATATATATTCCGGTATAGAAGGATTCCAACCAATCTTCTGTAATTGTTCAGTAAAGCATGTATCTGGTGTATAAGAAATATATATTCCGGTATAGAAGGATTCCAACTCTTCTTTTGCCGTGTCATCGGTCCTGAAACATGACGAGCGCATGAATACACCAACAAATCATGTAATGTCAACTGATTATCATCATTGATTCCAAACTTTATGTCTAATGTCGGCACTGGTTTTATATTATTAATATAAACAACAGTAAACTCGTCGTGCTTTCCGGACACGCCTTGGTCTTGTGGATGATGTCACTTACAGTAGTCCTTGAGTTAGGCAGCACTGGACACTACAACGGCAGTAACCATAGCCACCAGACTGGTCAATGTCAGCTGATGATGGCCTGAAGAAACGCAAAACCACAGAAACATATGATATAGTATGACATGAACACGAATATAATGTTTTATTTATTACATACATGCATTTTAGTGTACGCTGTGGTGAACGAGCACTACATGTTACTATGACGCCTATGTATAGACAGTTAACCAGTATTACCTTCATCTCTCTCGGCAACGGTCACGCTGGTGTGTTGACAGTATATCTTTTCGCCTAAACAATGATTCAACTATTGTCACGTCCGGAAATAACTGTTCCGTGATTCAGCGATGCATTAGGGATGACCACGACTGATTAAATTGTATAGTTAACCACTCGATAGCCGTTCGAAGCGATAGGGTGAGATCAGCTGATCGTTCATTCCAGGTCGCTTTGTCGACGTTTTGCAATCGGTACTGAAAGTGCTGACCTTGATGTTTAAGTATCACACTTTTAAAAAATGAAGTAGAATTTCATTGTACACGTTCCCATATCAATCTTGTAGTATCGCCACATCAAATGCATGAATATCATTACAGCGGTTAGGCGATGCGGTACGCGGAATGTGAAGGTCTTATGCAACGTAATAGTTGCCAGTAGCCTAAATGTTGCAACACATGTAAGTGTTTATCAGGTTTTCAAGATATGGTAAAAGAAACAGCCACTGACAAATTATGTCATCAACTAGATATCATTAACAATGTTCAATATAACAGAAATGGAAATTTCTGAAATATATTTTGATATTTAAGGGTTAGTTGGTGCATGTTGTATAAAAAGATTTTATGGATGAATGGTGCCTGTTTTTGCCAAATACTTATTAATGTGTCCTTTTTAATTTTAAAAATTAGAAAATTATATTTTTTTCAGACACAAGACACTATACATATTAGTTTGAAAACCTATTTAAAGGTTCTTATACCAACTACAATTTTTCATCTTATAAATTGGAACAATAAATCCATGCTAATTTTCAATATCTATAATGATGATTATATTAACATTGCAGTGTCTTTATCCAGTTTGCTTTAACAACAATCAGATGATTGTAATAGGGATAGAGCTCATTCATAATTTCATTAGGCCTGGCTTTCAATGTTTCTTTATTCTAAACTGATGTCCCAAATTCCCACTTAAACTTATTATTAATGTTATTCTTTGTTCCCTTTACACCAACAGGTATCTGCATTGCACAATGACTGTTATTAGTTTATTTGATGTCTTGGTATACTTGTACATGTGTGCTAGTATTAAATTACACATGCGGGACTTTTTACCTTTACTTTTTCATTATCTGTAACTGAACTGCATACTATGTCAATACACATAAGTAACATATAAAAGGACTCCAGTATACTTTCATGTTTGAAGAACCACTCAGTTCACTGTGGGAACATATTTAATTACTTACATAAGTTACTTAGATCTTTGTAAGATCAAAATAGATCCAAATTAAAATGAGATTAATTTAAGGAGTCATTTCAGTAATATGTATACTGACTGAAAATGTAAGACAATATACACTGAGTGATACAGTCAATATTCATATGCCTGATTGTAGACACTGACTGTAACATATATAAATATAATCTGTTATATGCAAAACCAGTTAACATAGATAATTAAATACATCTACATGGAATGATTGTGCGGTTAAATTCGCATTTATGTCATCATCAGAATATTTGATTATAAACTTTCTTAAATCATATTTGCTAGATGATAATAATATCTCATAAATAGAGAATCTCATCCGAGTGGCTTTTGATATCAAATATATCAACACGAGTTGATAAAAGTGGAAAAATTCCGAGGCTTGCCGAGGAGTTTTGCCACTTTTATCAATGAGTGTTGATATATTTGATGTCAAAAGACACGCGGGTGAGATTTTATTAATCATCCAACATCATTCTTCCAACTTTTTCAATTTTGTAGACAGTAATTATCAGTGTCTTCAGTGTAAAAAGTACTGCTAACAGCTTCAGTAGCAGAGCTATTAGTGATGTCATGTGATTGTGACGTCATGGTAACCACTGATGTCACAATGGTCTGCAAAGCATTGTGATGTAATTTCATTGCAGCGATATCTACAGTGTAGATATCGCTTGATCTCATCCAAGCAATATCTCCTGTAAGAGCCAGTGTTGGACGATAAATAAACTTAATACTACAGGTAGCTTGAAGTACTGTTGATACATAGCTACAGCAGGGTAGTGTATGGGTTGTAAGGGAAATAACTTGTCAATAGAATGATAAATATTATGTTACTAAAACAAAACTATACAACTATGATTGACATCTATTTATGTATCATACACGTCTTTTGGGGTAGTCGGGGCGGTCGGGTAGCCTAGTGGTTAAAGCGTTAGCTCATCACGCCGAAGACCCGGGTCGATTCCCGACATGGGTACAATGTGTGAAGCCCATTTCTGGTGTTGAAAAAACGGCGTAAAACCATATTCACTCACTTTTGGGGTAGTCAGTATGATTTGTTGTTTGTTTGGACAAATCTCTGTAATTTACCACAATTTTGAGAACATGAGTATCAGAGTCCTGTAAGAAATGATGGAGCAATGAATTAACACTTAATGGCGGACACATTTTGTAAGGGGAGGAATAATATGGGTAAATCTCTTATTTCAAAGTATATAATGACTGGTATGTATATTAATTGCAACTGAGCAACTGACTGCTTGATAGATGCATGGTAGATTTCTATTTTATTTTTATATCATTTATCTTATAAAAAAATAATTTCAGAATTAAAGAAATAAAAGTAAGATGTAACTTGAATTCTGACATAAGAGTAACATTTAAAATCAGTTGTTTTATTCTGAATGTTATTTCTTCTTCAATTATTTGGCACAGATGTAAACTAACTACAGATCAGTCGTAAAGGCCTGTCAAAGATGTCTGTGTGCTGCAATAGTAAGTGTTAGTCCAATTGTATTACATTGAAGTCCATGGACTACTTGGACTTGTCGTGGGAAGTAACACAAAGGCTGATAAATAAAATGAGTTTGCATTATTTCATCGATGCGATATGTTCGCCCAGACTGACAGAATGCATCGCCGTTTTCTAACGTTGAAAATATCGTGTCAATGTACCGTTTTTCATGCCGATTTTCCAGCTATCTTCCATCGTGACAATTCGTCTTTTAGTTGAAGACTCAACAGATGTTGATTTTCTAAACTAATAATCACTACAAAATGTGTGCTAGTTAAACATATCCAGTTGTAAATGACCGTTTTTGAATGTCGGTGCAACAGGGTAACGAATTATCTTGGCTCCGTTTTCCGTTGCCAGTTGTCGCAGCGCGCATAGATCCGTGAACCTGACCGAAAGCGACAGGTCGGACCGTCGCGTATATAATTTCAAAAGGAGGGTAATTGCCCTTTGGAACAAAAAGATGGTCCATACACAGTTGTCTCGTGACGGGATATTACCCTAGGGCACATATGAGTTTTATTAACTTCGATATGTTTGCCCTCGGAGGTAAGAAAGAGAATAATGTACCTCAAGGAGAGATGTTTCCGCTGTTTACCACTTAACGACAAAACGAGACAAATGATGCATCTCGAGTCATGGATCTATGACCCTAGATCTGGTAGACTGTCTGGCATGAGGTTCAACACCCCTTATATACATACACCCTGAGGTCTGTGTAGACTGTCTGGCATGAGGTCGCACACCCTTAATATACATACACCTTAAGGTCTGTGTAGATTGTCTGACATGCGGTAGCACACCCTTAATATACATACACCCTAAGGTCTGTGTAGACTCTCTCACATGAGGTAGCACACCCTTAATATACATACACCCTAAGGTCTGTGTAGACTGTCTGACATGAGGTAGCACACCCTTAATATACATACACCCTAAGGTCTGTGTAAACTGTCTCACATGAGGTAGCACACCCTTAATATACATACACCCTAAGGTCCGTGTAGACTGTCTGCCATGATGTAGAACACCCTTAATATACATACAGCCTTAGGTCTGTGTAGATTGTCTGACATGAGGTAGCACACCATTAATATACATACACCCTGAGGTCTGTGTAGACTGTCTGGCATGAGCTAGCACACCCTTAATATACATACACCCTAAGTTCTGTGTAGACTGTCTGACATGAGAAGCACAACCTTAATATACATACACCCTAAGGTCTGTGTGTGTCTGACATATGGTAGCACACCCTGAATATACATACACCCTAAGGTCTGTGTAGACTGTCTGACATGTGGTAGCACACCCTGAATATACATACACCCTGAGGTCTGTGTAGAATGTCTGGCATCAGGTGGCACACCCTTAATATACATACACCCTGAGGTCTGTCTAGACTGTCTGGCATCAGGTGGCACACCCTTAATATACATACACCCTGAGGTCTGTATAGACTGTCTGACATGAGGTAGCACACCCTTAATATACATACACCCTGAGGTCTGTGTAGAATGTCTGGCACCAGGTGGCACACACTTAACATACATACACCCTAAGGTCTGTGTAGAATTTTTGGCATGAGGTAGCACACCCTTAATATACATACACCTTAAGGTCTGTGTTGACTGTCTGACTTGAGGTAGCACACCCTTAATATACATACACCCTGAGGTCTGTGTAGACTGTCTGACATGAGGTAGCAAACCCTTAATATACATACACCCTAAGGTCTGTGTAAACTGTCTGACATGATGTAGCACACCCTTAATATAGATACACCCTAAGGTCTGTGTAGACTGTCTGACATGAGGAAGCACACCCTAAATATACATACACCCTAAGGTCCGTGTAGACTGTCTGGCATGAGGTAGCACACCCTTAATATATATACACCCTAAGGTCTGTGTAGACTGTCTGGCATGAGGTAGCACACCCTTAATATACATACACCCTAACGTCTGTGTAAACTGTCTAAAATGAGGTAGCACAGCCCTTAAATACATACACCCTAAGGTCTGTGTAGACTGTCTGGCATGAGTTCGAACACCCTTAATATACATACACCCGGA